TTCTTTGCTGATACCAACTTCATTCGCACATGGTGAAGTGAATTCAGGCTGCTGGAATTTAGTGAATAAGTTTTATTCTTAATAGACTTAACAAAAATGGAACTAAAAAGTCATCAATCATCCAAAACATCAGACCTACTGGGTCAGCCCCCACATTTTTTCTTTTTATGTTAAACTATAAACATATTTAAATCAATGCATAGTCCCGTAGGCTGCTGGAATTTTTGGGCAGTGTTCATTTCATTGTTAAGGGTGTTGTGATGTTGCCCATTCCTATAAATTCCTTTAGTCGTGTCTGCTGGAACAAGTGACGAAACGAATGTTGGTACAAACTGTTAGATTTCTTATCCAGAGGATTTCTTTGGATGAATTTCCTTGTACTGGATGTAATGGACATTCCCTTTCCATGCCAGAAGAGGGCAACTTGTCCTCCAGGTGTTTTGGTCGACAATTCCCATCAGCCCTCACCATCCTAGTCAGTAGTAAGGATGATGGGATTGTCAACCAAAATACCCCAAGGGCCAAAAGTAATAGGAACTGTTATTCAAGTAACAATCATCAAAATTGGCATGGGTATTTGGAATAAGGTTTGTTTTCAGAAAAACTCAGCTTTTGAAGGGTGTAGATGAGATTCACTCACTCACAACCCCCATACTTTTATCCTGAAAAGTGTGTGACTAGGTGCCTTCTTGGTGCAGTAGGCAGTGCGTCAGTCTCATAATCTGAAAAGTGTGACTAATCCTTGATAAAACCACTAAAAGAAATTGGTCACAGTTATGCCATCCATGACCGTTGCCAGCTTTTCAAAGCTTATGAAGAGCCTCTGCCCGTACCCTGTGAAGGAACAACATCCACAATTTTTGTTCGTGTTGCTACTCGGTTACTGAGTGGGTGATCTTGTGAGGAAATTCAAAAGGCCATAAAAGGTAGGAAAGGTCAGCCAGAGGAACTGAAACCTAAGGATGCAAAAGGACTCCAGTTACTGCAAAAAACAGAACGGTGGCAAAAATATGCTGAGGTTGGGAGTGGGGAGTTAGAATAGTGGATATTAAAAAAGGCATGCATGTAGGCAGGGCAAGTACAAGAACTAGAAATAAGGACAAAGAGCCTAATATAGAGAGCACTGCAGAGGTCAAGGTCTGCAGAAGCGAAGCTGAGCTAGAGGGGAAAAAAGCTGCACTGCCAAAGGGCTGAGAGAACATTTTTTTATGTTACCATATCCGATTTGTGTTTATGTTTAATAGCTTAAACTTTTAAACCTGACTATCCACACTAGAAATGTTTCAAGAATAGTTTAATTGCTGCATTCCCAATCTCTACGGATGGGTGTGAAAGCTGGAACAGTGAAGAAAGCTGACAGCAAGCAAATCGATGTGTTCAAAAGTCAGTGCTGGAGGAGAGCTTTCTGAATCCCCTGGACTGATGGAAAGATGAACAAGTGAGTCCTGGATCTGATCAGGCCAGAACTCTCTCCGGAAGCAAAAACAGTGAAACTCGTACTTAGGCACATCATGAGAAGGCAAAAATCCCTGGAGAATCTTGCTAGGGGAAGCTGAAGGCAGAAGACCAACTATGGGAGGGATTGATTACATAAGGAGTCAGTGTGGACTAGAGTGCCGGATGGGACTCACTGGGTGACACTGGGCCAGTCACTTACACTCAGCCTCACCTGCCTTACCAGGTTGCTGTGAGGATAAAATGGAGAGGAGGAGAGCCTCGTAAGGCACCTTGGCTTCCCTCAAGAGGGAGAAATGTAGGGCATAGCTGTACGCCAAGTATGGAAGGCATCACCTTGAGTTGGCAAGAGTTGAGCAAGACAGGAGATTTTGGAGGGCTTTCATTCATTAGGTTACTGTAAGTCAGATGGCAGCATGTAGAACAATAAAAATGGTTGTTCATATGGGTCTGATGCCTTTTTTCTTTGCTTCTTTCAATCCCATATGTAATTGTCTTCCAGTATAACCCAGTACAAAAAGTAAGGTGGGTAATTAAAAAAATCTGTAGGACACACACAGAGGCAAAGGGTAATATTCTCTTTGCATTGAGGCAGTGAGAAAGCTAAAAGTGTACCCTTGATGCCAGAAGTAAGGTATTGGAAGGGGAAGAGCAAATTAGTTGATATGCTCACTTCCAGTGTTCCTAATGGAGCAGGCCCTAATAAAGCCATTTTCTAGAACTGAATGCGATTTTTTAAATTTAAAGCTTCTAACAAATGTAGCTTTCCACAAGTTGCTTGAGGAGTTCATAGAAAGTGACGACCTCAAGCAAAAGTACGGAGTTGTCCAGAGTTGGACACATTGTGCTCCCACCATCTGAGTGTACCCCTTTAGCCCCTTGGGGTGAGGGTGTCTGTCAGTTCCCGTCTCCTAAGAGGACTACCCCTCAGTCAGGGGAGGGGGCAAGTATGTAACTTTCCTTTTACCTTCTCCTGGCTACCATTCTTGAAGCTTCAAGTTGCACTGACCTTAAAGCTATGAGCGGATTAGGGAAGTCTGCCCCTCGTGGCTGAAGAAGCTAGTGCAAGCTTCAGCCAGAGACACATGTTTAAATTAAAATTGATGTATTATAAAAATAAATGTTGAGCTGCATGCAGTTACTGGTCTGTAGATCACATGATCTTGGTGCTGTAACATGGGCATACATGGATCCTTGCTTGTTAGACCGAGCGGCAGCACCGATTTTGCTCAAATAATGCAGCCATCCTTTCGTTTTAGGCAGAGCATGGAAATGGAATCCCTCGCTGATGTTACATTATCTGCTGTGTTTATAGGAGTCCATTTCACTTAACACAGCAGAAACATCCGTTCATTTCCTTTCACACCCTCTGCCTGCCCTTCATACCCAGCTGTTTTTATATTCAAGTATCTCCTTAAAACATGTCTGTTTATCCTTGTTCAATGCAATTTCTCTCTCCCAAATATCAAGTCCTTAGATTGTAAGCTTTTGTGGGGGGGGGGGGGCTGTGTTTCTGTACCGTGCCTACAAGTCTTGGATGCTTTATTTAAAACAAAAACAAAACAAAAGCCTTTCGCTATCCTTCTATCGAAATAAAGCAATTCCATAAAGGAGCCACAGTGTTGAGTTTACAAAGACTGAGCATGGCTGTGAAGGACAGGACATTTTGGAGGATGCTCATTCATTGGGTCACCAGGAGTCAAAGATAATGGTACATAACAACAACAAATGGCCCTACAGCAAAAGTGACTTGCATGAGGGTAACCTTCCCCCCAGTCCTGGTGTCATCCAGATGTTTTGGTCTTACATCACCCAGGGATGCTGGGGATTCAGGCTGAAGACATTTGGAGGTCACCAGGTTGGGAATGCTGGGGCAGGGGCTTCCATTTTATTCTGAGGTTGGGGTATGGGCACAAAGTGCCATGCCAGTCCAGACAGATTTCTGTGCTGTAACTGAAGTAACAACAAGGTGTGTTTATCCTTATGCTGAGGACATGCCTACAATGCAGATTATCTCCCCCTCCCTTGTACATACAGCCTGAGGATGAGAACAGTGTCATAGGAAAATGCATTTACATGTTGCATTTGAACAGTGACAAATCTTATCAGATGAATTGTGATCAGTTTTACTTCACATTATTGACATCCATGCTTAAAATGGCAGATCTGGTGCCAAAGGCTTAAATGCCCCTGCCTGCAAAGAACAAGCTTTCATCTGTTTCACCACAGAGTAGAAAAAGGACAGCAGTTGTGCTAGCCTTCAGCTTAGCATAGTGTAGAAGAGCCTGTCCCCTCTTTCTCTGGAGAATCCACTCTGGCTGCCTACCAAAGCAAGGGAAGAAGTGCCAAGCCTGGTCCAGAAAAGATATATTTAGGTTTTGCCTATACTGCCCTGGTTCTTTTTGAACTGGTTGGTGCATGCCATCATGATAAAACTATGCAATGCAATGAGGAAGAAAAAGCAGACTCAACCAGCAGTTTTTGAAGTGCATTAAGACCAAATACTACCAGCAGATAAAAAGAAAAAAGGAAATCTAATAGCAGCAAAATGTCACACGTTGAGGTCACTGCAATAAAGCAAGGTATTAAGCCTAATGAAGTATAACTCACTCGTTTCAGCTGAAGGGTACACAAAGTCTGATGCCTGTCAGTTGGACCATTCCAAAATCGCATCCCTGTTGCAGAAAAGGGCTTGTCTTCTAAGGTTGCTGCCAGGAGGCAGCTCTGAAATAAAGCCCCCTTGCTGTTGACAAAGATCAACATTCTTGTCTGAGGCCTTTATGTAATATTAACTTGGTGTTTGGCTGCCTGGCGTTTACTTTACCTTCTCCCCACAAGGCTGAGCAACTAGTGGCTTCCAGTTCTTTTGGCCCCCCAGCTTCTCATCAGCATCAGCCAATGTTGCCAGGGGAAGATGGGAGCCACAGGCCAAAAGGCACGGGAACGCTTTAGTTGCCCAGACCTGCTAAGGCAGCAAGAAAGAAACACCGTGCTTTAAAGGTGGCCAGCGTTATCTGATCCTTTTATAACTAGTAATACGGATTTATTTTTAAACGCTCTTTTAAATTGGGCTCTTGCAAGTGATTAACCGGGTAACCACACGATGCCACGCCAGTTTGGACAGAAAAATGGGCAGTCCTGAGGGCAGCCTTTTTTTAATGTCTAAGCAGAAAATATACAGGGCGACCCACAATCCGAGGAAAGCTGAACCGGCTTCCGCTCCCCAGCTAACAACGGCGCCATTTCCGCAGCAAATGTCACTCCAACACCCAGCACGGACTGGCACGTCCGTCATGCCTCCCGCTCCCCTTTATAGCCGTTAGCGAGCGCCGCGCAGGCGCAACGGGGTCGGGAGGAAGAGCCAACCAGCGCGGGGCGCTTACTCTGCGCAGCGGCAGTAGAGGCGGCGCGTGCTCCAATCTCCCCAACGGGGTCAGGTCGCTTCGACGGGACCTCCGCCCTCTTCTGACGTCACACGAGGAAGAAGAAGAAGCCACCATGTCGGACGTAGCAGATTCGCCATAATCCCTGCCCGCCGGCCTAGCCGCCGCCATTTAATAATAATAATAATTAATATTTATACACGCAAGTGTTGGCTTGTTTTTAACAGAAGCTTCTTCTCCCTCGAGGATATTGACGACAAAGCGGGGGACGAAAGTGCTTTTTAACACCATTAAAAAAATAAGGTGGACTTCCCCCCCCGCCCCCTCCTCAAGCCAGGCTGTCCTCTGCTCCCAGACCCCCTCCTCCTATTCGGCTATGGAGGACCCAGCGGCAGGTGAGTGGGCGGGGCGAGGCGGGGGGCGATTCGGACCCTTCTGTGCGGTATTGGGGGGGAGGGGATGCCCCCCTGAAAAGACTAATAAGGCGGAAGGGGAGGACGGCGGGACACTCGCTGCTGTAATAATTCCGGCTCTCCGTCGAAGTTTGCGGGGTTTCGGTGATAAGATGACGCGGGGAAGGTGTCTCACTGGGCATTCTGCCCCGCATATGGCGGCACCTGGGCGCAGGCCGGAAGTTAGGACCTTGCGTGCGCCACTCCGGCCTCGCGCGGATCCCTCTGAGAGTCTTAGCGTCGGCAGAAGTTCCGGCATGCGTTTTTTCTGGTTCTCATTCGCTGAGCGTCATTACCGTCGAGGGGCCCATCCGCATGGGAAAGTAGTGCGGGCCCTAGCGGCTTCTGCGCTAGCGCTCGCGGGCGCTGCCTTGGCGAGCCTCCCTGCGGCCACGCGGTGCGAAGGGGCAAGCGGGAGCCTTCGGGCTCTGAATCTCGAATCATGCACGGAGCATGTGAGCAGCTGCGCTTCTCTGCTGCACCGTGCACAGCTCCCTGAGCATAACGCATCGCAACGCGGAGGTAGTGTTGCCTAGTAGTGAGAGTGCGGAGCTGGACTTGGCAGCTGCAGGTTCTAGACCCCTCTCGGCCGGAAGGCTCACTGGGCGGCCTTGGGCTGCTTGCTTGAATCCCAGCCTTTCCTATCTCACAGGGTTGTTGTGAAAATAACATGGGAAGGAGGAGAAAGATTGTGGGAAAGGAGGGTTCCCTTCCAATGAAAAAAACTGAGTAATAGAAGAGGGGACCAGTGGGCCTGGAAAGCTGGACTGGGGCTGGGTTGCTTACAGGAAAAGACAAGGTTAAACTGTCATTAAAAAAAAAATAACAGTGCTCATTTTAAACATCTATTCAAAACTTAAATGAGAGCAAAGTCCATTAATAATAGCTAATATCAATAATATCAGTTTGATTAAATAATCACAGTTAAGTGATTTTATAATGAGATGCCTTAAACAACTCAAAAAGGGAAGGAAAAAAATGACCAAGTGTTTCCAATAGCCCACTGCCCATTCTCAACAGGAAAGGCATCCTTGATGCACTGCCTGGCTAGTCATTCATTCATTTATATTTATATACAGCATTTTTTTTTCCCTTTCAAGGTGGCTTACATACTTCTCCTCCTCCTCTCAATCTTATCCCCACAACCACCACCACCCTGTGTGGTAGGTTGGGCTTTACTGGCCCAAAGCCGCCCAGGTGGCTCCATGGCTGAGCAGGGACTGGAACCCAGATCGTCTGAGTCCCAGTTCTGCCCTCTTAACCACTACACCTCACTGGCTCTCAAAATTAGTGAAAAATTCATAAATGTTCCTCTCCATGAAAATCTTTAGTAAAAAGCAAAAGATTTATACTATATGAAGAAAATACCTGTCATTGTAACTCTTCCCAGAATAAATTCTCTGCATAATCTGTCACATTTTAACTGGGGATTGTAATTGGTGATCATGTAAATTCTTTCCATGGCATATACATTAAATTTCTAGTGAAAAACACTGCACATCACACTTCCCTAACTTGCTGCCCTTCACTTGTATGGGGCTTCAGATGTATTGGACTACAATACTTATCACCCTGAATATATTTACATGTTTAGTACAGATGGGGGTTGTAGTATACTTTGGAGAGCACCAGGTTGGGGAAGTGCTTCAGGGCACCGCCTGTCCTTTGCATGTTTGGACCAAAAGGTGCCCCACAGTCTCCAGGCTGTTCAAAGTCCTTTTTCCTGTCTCAACATGCATAGGATGCACCCTTAACTGTTCAGTTACAGAAATAGATGGGTCTCCCGGGCCATCTAGTCTGACCTCTGGCTCCAGCCTTCTCCACTCATGTAATACCCAATCTTGTAGAATGAGCAACATTCTGGCTATTTTAAAAAAGGCTTCCTGTGCAACAATATAGATACAAAACAGAAACAAAACTTTCCTAAGCAGCAGCAACCGAAAAGAAAATATTAATGCCTGGGAGAGGTTGCTAACATTAGAACATCCAGGAGAGTATTATTGTCTGTCTCCACTTTTTCTAACGGTGACTGTGTGTTTGTGCGTTTGCAGGCACAAACATACATCAACACACACACACAGACTGCTCTAGCCTCTGACAGGTTCTGCCACCGACAATAAATAAAGCATCATTGGATTCTTGTTTTTGCTCAAGCAGATCTCCTGAGAATATCGCATGTCTATGGAATTTATTCCTGTATGCCGGACAGAATGCTGAATCAGAGAACGAGAGAGGCTTGCTTGAGAATATATTTGTTGCTTTGTACCGTCAAGTCTTCCCTGACTTAGGTGACCCTATGAATTGGATGCCTTCCAAAATATTCTGTCCTTCACAGCCCTCTCCTTTATAGGCTTCCTTTATGGAACTGGCCCATCTCTCATTTGGTCCTCCTTTTCTTCTGCCTTCAACTCACCTTAGCAGTATGTCTTCTCCAGCAAATGCTGCCTTTTCATGATGGGTGTGACAACATCAGTTTTGCCACTTCTGCTTCTAGGGAAAGTTCTGGTTTAATTTGATTTAGGACCCACTTGTTTGCCTTTCTGTCAGTCCAGAGTATTCAAAAAAGCTCTCTTGTTCTGAATGCATCCATTTTTTCCTCTCTAGCAATCACACTCATGTATAGTAATCAAAACACAACAGTGATCTTGGCCTTCCAGTGAAACTTCCTTACACTTGAGAATCTTTTCTAGTTCCTTCATAGCTGCCCTTCCGAGTCTCAGTCTTCTAATTTCTGGCCACAGTCTCTCTTTGAAGCGATGCCTGAGCCAAGCACCTTTGCAATTTCAATATCTTTGTTATTGACCTTAAAGTCGTGTCATTCTCCTGTAATCATAATTTCCCCCTTAATATTCATCTGTAGGCTTGCTTTTATATTTCCTTCTTTTGCATTCCGAGGATGCATACTTATTTCAAATCCCATCGTTTTCTTCTGATCAGCGCATAAGAGCAGACTGCATGAAACTCTTTGGATACTCCATCCCATCCTCATAACTCCGACTTCAGTGCCCTCCACACCTACCAGCCGGTTCTTGGCAGGGCTCATGCCTGTTTGACAGAAGCCTGGTATGTTGAAGTTCAAGGGAAGCTTTCCTGTTATCCTTACGATGGGAATGTTTCCCCTGTGGAATTTCTGCCAAACATACAAGCGTTAAAGACAGACAGGTCCTGCTTCCCCCCTGCCCCCAGCCTTTTTTTTTTCTTTTTTTGCCCCCAAGAGCTTTGCCCACAAGGTATACCTTTCTTCATTTTTTGTTGTTAGTCGTGAAGTCGTGTCCGACCCATCACGACCCCATGGACAACACTCCTCCAGGCCTTCCTGTCCTCCACCATCTCCCAGAGTCCACCCAAGCTCACACCAACTGCCTCAGTGACTCCATCTGGCCACCTCATCCTCTGCCATCCCCTTCTTCTTTTGCCCTCCATTGTTCCCAGTATTAGGCTCTTCTGCAGGGAGTCCTTCTCATTAGGTGGCCAAAGTCTCTGAGTTTCATCTTCAGGATCTGGCCTTCTAAGGAGCAGTCAGGGTTGATCTCCTCTAGGACTGACCGGTTTGATTGCCTTGCAGTCCAAGGGACTCGCAGGAGTCTCCTCCAGCACCACAATTCAAAGGCCTCAATCCTTCGGCACTCAGCCTTCCTTATGGTCCAGCTTTCACAGCCATCCATTGCCGCTGGGAAAACCATCGCCTTGACTACATGCACTTTTGTCGGCAGGGTGATGTCTCTACTTTTTAGTATGCTGTACTGCTACATAAATGTGTTTTAGGAGACAAGTCCTATCAAGTTGACTTACAAATAGCATAAGAAGAATCAAATCAGAAAAAACAGTATTGGCAAACTTTAAAATGGACATCAGGATACTTCCCTCAAGGAAGTTGGGAAAGGAACCAGGATTATCTCCATCTGCCTCTTTCTCTTGGAACTGTGGCCACAGGGTGGTTGACGGGAGATACCCTTGCTAGTGAGCATGGAAGGCAGTGCCCTTGCCAGTCTGTCTTCGCAGTATCTCACCTTACTGGTGGAGGCCCACCGCACCCCCAAGGGCCCGTATGTCTCCTTGAAATGCCGATTTCGCAATCGGAGCTTCGTCTGACACGTCTGCACACGTGTCCTTTGTTCCCGTAGCCTGTGCCAGTCAAGCCATCCCCATCCATGGCTTAATACGAGCCCTGGGAATCCGCCTACACTGCCAGAACTCAGCCCAGAAACAATCCATTCTGAGCATGTGCAAAGTCCCTTTTCATGTGTCTCATTGGGTTTTATGCAAAGGTTTACTACATTGCCGAAGGCATAGATCTTGGTTCGCTTTCTCTTTTGATAGCAGGCTTTGCTTATAAATGGTGTATTCGCCTCTAACATTTCAAAGCATCCTTGGGTCTTCTCGAGTGCCACCGCCTCTCGTTTCAGAAGCTGTTTTTTATACCATCTTCCGCCTGTGGAAGCATTCCTGTTGCCTTGCTCTTCTGCCTCCATTTGCTGGGCCTTTTCCTGTCCGTCGTCCTGGTTCCGCGGCTGTTTTTGCATTGCATTTATAGCCACCTGTTTCACTCTTGCAAGGAACTCTCGGTAGCTTACATGGTCTTCCCCCTCTCCATTTTACTCTCAAAACAACCCTGTGAGTTAGACTAGGCTGGGGCTAATGACTGACCTGAAGCCATGGCTGAGTGGGGAGCAGAACCCGTGTCTCCCGAGTCCCAGTCTGCTCTATGGCCCTGCTATACCTGATTAGACAGGCAATGGCCTACAAATCCCACCATGCCCCAGCCAGGGCCAGGGCATGCTGGGAGTTGAAGGCCTTTTTTTCTTAGGAACACTGGTTTGCACATGTAGTCTTTTTCTCTATCTCCTTCCAAGATTATTCCTTTTCCTGCCAATTCTGGCAGAAGCTCCCTCTTCAAATTCCCATCCTTTCTTCTGCTAAGCCTCTTCCAACTGTGATGCTATAATTCCATTAAAATCATACTAATTGCTGTAGAAGGGTTTTTTCCCCAATGCTTCTGAAAATCTCTGGGCCCCCCCTGTCTCCTTTTGGGATTGGCCCTTAGAAAACCATCCCTAGTACCTGAGCTCTGCCATGCAGCTACTCCAAGTCGTCACTAGAGGTCGCTGCTTGCACACAGAATGTAACAGCTTCACAACTGTGACAACCAACGAATGCTGCATTTCTTTATTTCTCAGGGTTTCTCATCATTTAAAAACAATTAAGTTGTTGGGATAAAAGACATTGTTCATCGCAGGACACTGAAAAGCATTTGTAGCATCCCCAGACTGTAGGATTTGTGATTTTACCATTTTGTGATCGAATTGAGCAATACCAAGCTTCTAGATGGTGTACAATTCCAGGACAAAGGGGAACCAGTTACTACAAGATTGTTTGCTTTGGTGCAGGCACACCCACCACGAGGAAGTTTGCCACCAAGATTACTCCAGGAGTAAACAACCGCAGTTTCCCACATTAGCTGCAAATACACCATTCATAAACAAAGTCTCCCGTTAAAATGGAAAGCTGTCTTTCATATTTTTAAATTCTCTTTGAATTCTCTTGCCGCCATCAACATAGTTTTTAAAAACTAAGGTAGTGAATTCTTCTAACAACCCCCCTCAAATGCAACCATCTATTAAAGTTGGCCCCCAACTGATCAATTTATCAATTTAAGTATTAGATTGCTATTTTATACTTGTTCACTCGTAAGTTCCATTCAACTCCCTGGGCCAAATAGACATGAGCAGGGATTGTACCATTAGTTGCTCTGGGCAGCTGTCCTGTGGATATTTACTTGGGATTAATTCTTACTGAATTTATAGGATTGCTTTGTTAATCTGACCATTTACGTTTCATTGATTCAAATGTCTCATCTGTGAATACAGAGGTTTATGGCTTGCGGGAAAAGGAATTGTTCTACTCTTAATTTCTGGATGATTTATACAGTAACCGGTAATTATGTCGGTCTACCTGTTCCAGAATAAAATGTCAAGATACCAGTTCAATGTAGTAATAATAATTTTAAGCGGAGGATTGACTGATTGTCCCAATGCAATTTCCTATTAGTTACAGCTATTGTCTATTCATACTTATTTCCAGGGTGGGATTGATCTGTAAATAAAAGTTCTGATAATCAGCATTTTTCTGTTGCTCCTTTCGTTGCTCCTTTTGTGATGTGTGTCACTGCTGTTTTCATGATGAAAGTCTGATGCATGAATGGGGTTATTCCAGACATCCATTATAGATGTATGCATCTCGTATACTGAGTTCTGAAATCTGTTCAGTCTTCCTAAATTATTTCACTCTGAAAGAATTCTTGATCAAACTTTTCTGAACTTGAGGTACCTTGTTATTCATGTATGACTATTGCATTAATTTTATTTAAATATATCGATATCCTGTTTTTCTATAGAACTTCTCCAAAGTAGTGCACAAAACATTCAATAAACAGGAACAGTCAAATACTAGAAAACAATAATATTGATTTTTTTAAAAAATGAAAAGCAAGCGTCTTTTACTAATCAATCCTATCCATCTTCATACAGAAGTAAGCTCAATAAAGTTTATTCCTAGGCTATCGGGCAAGGAATTGCAGCCTTAATTTACAGCAAGAATACACACCTGTGCATTCTGATTTCAGGGGCGTTTGCCCCAAGATAGATAAGGACAGGATTGGAGCTCAGTCCCAAAATTGCTTCTTAAATGTATGATTTTAAAGGTGCATGGAATCTAGTGGAACTTATTTTCCTATTTAAACCCACACAGTGCTGCACTGAAACAGAAACATCACATTCGCAGCAGCCTTCCTTTTAATATAGCAGAGGGTAGGTTGCAGCCCTCCAGATTTTTTTGACTAAAAGTCCCTTTAGGGTTGTCTCTTGGTACTTCCAATAGTGGGGACTGCTGGAGACAGTAGGGCAAGATGTCTGTAGGATCACCACTTGCCCCCTACCCTTATTTTAATATCAAACTCATAATAACGAAGTGCTCCCCCTAAATTAACATCACTCTCTGAAACCACCTCAGTGTTTCCCCTGTCCCCGCAAGCCAGGCCCGCTAAATGGCCAGAGACCCTCTGTGTCTCGGGAAGAGAAGAAATGCGGAACGCTTGTAATAGGATCATGTTCCTGCTGTTTCCATCCATCTTTTCACTCCTACCTGTCTTTGGAAGCTCAGGTGACTGCGGTGGCGAGGAGCGCTTTCCATCAGCTTCGGCTAATCCATCAGCTATGCCTCTACCTGGAGGAAGATTGCCTAGCGACAGTGATGCATGCATTGGTTACTTCCCGGTTGGATTTCTGTAACGCACTCTACGTGGGGCTGCCCTTGAAGACAGTCCGGATACTTCAGATGATGCAAAATAGAGCAGCCAGGTTGCTGACGAGGACTGGGCATTACTTTCATATAACCCCAGTCCTCTACCAGCTTCACTGGCTTCCCATTGAAGTCCGGGCTCAATTCAAGGTGCTGGTTATCACCTACAAAGCCCTTAATGGCTTGGGACCTGGATACCTAAAGGAACGCCTGCTTCCGTATTTGACCTCAAGCCCCCTGAGATCAGCAGCAGAGGCCCTCCTCCGGGAGCCCTCCAGGAGAGACATCAGGAGACAAAGTACCTGGAGGAGGGCCTTCTCTGCGGTGGTGCCCCATCTGTGGAATGCGCTCCCCAGAGAGGTCTGCCTGGTGCTGTCGTTATTTGTTTTTCGGCACCAGGCCAAGACCTTTTTATTCAAACAGTATTTTAACAATGTCAAATATTTATAGGTTTTAATTGTGCAGCCAGGGTATTTCCGGGTTTTAATTGTATTGTATTATATTAATTTATTTCTGTGAGCCGTCCCGGGGCTATATAGCAAGGGGACGGCATACAAAAACTTTAAATGAATAAACACCTGACAGGCTGTGGCCAATCTGAATTGCCCATCCTTTAAGACCAGCAGCAGACAGAATCAGGACCAGCAGCAGACCCATCGCGACCCCATGGACAACATTCCTCCAGGCCTCCCTGTCCTCCATCATCTCCCGGAGAATACCTAAGCTCACACCAGCTGCCCCAGTGACTCCATCCAGCCACCTCATCCTCTGCCGTCCCCTTCTTCTCTTGCCGTCAATTGTTCCCAGCATCAGGGTCTTCTCCAGGGAGTCCTTCCTTCTCATTAGGTGGCCAAAGTACTTGAGTTTCATCTTCAGGATCTGGCCTTCTAAAGAGCAGTCAGGGTTGATCTCCTCTAGGACTGACTGCTTTGATCACCTTGCAGTCAAATGATACAATCCTTTGTAATCCACCTCTCCCCCAGTCAAGGCAACTCACAGGATTGTTGTTGTGGGGATAAGATTGAGAGGAGAAGGAGGAGAATTCTGTAAATTGCTCTGAGTTCCTTTAAAAAGAAAAAAGGCAGGATATAAGTATAAGAAAGAAACAAACTCTCCATAATACCTAAATGATTTTTAAATTGATTAGTAAGACACAGACTGAAAATGATAAAGAATCTTATCAACGAACAGACAAATGGCTGCAAAGTGGTCGTCTTAATAAGTGAAGCATTCAATTTACGGGCAAAAGACAGTGCAGTCAAGCAAGCGCTGCGCAGGCTAGTCGCCGCAGGGAAAGCTTTCTCACGGCAGGGTGCCACCACAGGGGACTCTCTGCAGGGTGAGGCTCTCCGCGCCATGGAGTGATGCCAAGGGACTTGGCTGCGGACCCAAAAGAAGGAATTGCGGCCTCTCTCCCAGCTGCCTGAGGGAATATTGGTGCAATCGCAACGGAGCAACTTCTGGCTGCTGGTGCCAGGGTGCCTCCTTGGGTGGAGAAGGGAGCTCCAGCCCTTCCCTTCACAGCCTGGCTTCGGATCTGGCTGCTTGCATGCAGTTTGTTGAGCGGCAGGTTCTGCATCGTGATGCAGCGAAAGGGGCAGCAGGAGCTTTGTATTAACCCTCTGTGGCCCCATCGCTGTAGGTGCGCTGGAGTCGAAGGAGACTAACCATGTAATCCTCCGACATGTTTTCTTGGAAGTCCATAGCAGTGGTGATGCTCTTAGCATTTATTAGATTTATACGCCCCCAAGTAGTCCAAAAGGCTCTTAGGTGGTGTACATGAGTCACAGAAGCAAAATATAGAAATTTGACCATTTCAGAATACCAAAATCAATAAAAACACTAAACACCAGCCATAAAAGTATGGATAACAACTAATAATAATAATTTAACAACAATCATTCTAAAACATATCCCGGTGAGACAGACAACCATTCGTAACCAGCTAAATCCCTTGAAATGGATAAAATCATATGAAAAATTAATTGCTAAAATGGGTGGAGAGAGATGTTTTCGCCTGGTACAGAAATGAGAGCAGAGTTGGCGCCAGGCGAGCTTCTCTGGGGAGCCTGTTCCCACGGGGTGGGGGGGCAGCCACTGGGAAGGCCCTTCCTCTGATCCCCATTCCCTGTCACCTCGAGGAATGGCTCTTTCAGAAGGGCCTCTTGCCCAGCTCTTAATGGGCAGGTAAGTAGACACTGGAGAAAGTGGTGCTTCAGTCAACCAGGTCCTAAGCCATCCAGGGCTTTACATATTAAAACAAGTGCTTTAAACTGGGTCTGCCTTCGGATGGTGGCCAATGTAATTCTTACAAAACTGGTGTTACGGAGGTCTGCAAGCACCATTCATTGCGCCGCCCTCTTTGGAACCAGCTGAAGCCTCCGGACTGTCTTCAAGGGCAGCCCCACGTCGAGCGCGTTGCAGTGATCTCACCTGGATGTCACCAGTGTGTGAGTGACGGTGGCCAGGCTATGCCTGTCCAGGGCTATAGTTGGTATATTTGCCGCAGCCTCGCCCCGGCCGCTGAGTCCACTTGGGCCTCTGGCGGTAGTACCAGATTCAGAAGTGCCCCCAAACTGTGGGCCCCGTCCCTCAGGACTGCATCCCTAGGGGGCATGAAGGAGAGACTAGAAGAATGTTGGCAAGGCAACAGCCATGGGTCGGTTGTTTTCACTCTGTTTTTGCATTACGTAAGAAAGAACTGGCGTGATGGTGGGGCTTTAGGTTGGTAGGGCCCAAGGAGACCACTGCAGCCAGCTGGACATTTCTTCATTCTGTCCTCTCTGTTGCTCTTGCTGTACCTGCATACTTAATAGATTAACGGCTTCTTTGATCCTCTGCATATTTAATTCATTGTCTAATTAATTGCTCTGTTGACTTCTCTCCTAATTAATTACTCACTGCCTCCTCATCAATTCCATTCATGCTTAATTTAGAATATTGCTTATTTGATTCCTTACCTTTAATTGGCCCTCTCAGTTATTGTCCTGTTGATTCCCAGCCTAATTATCAACTGATTTATCAATTATCCATTGCATATTTGTTCAGCTGCTACAGGGATTGGCAGCAACCTTATTATTATTACAGGTAATGACTTTTATACTATGTGGTGGATCTTTTTGTTTGGTTGCTGTTCATCCTTGCCACAGATCCGAGGAGACAAATTAGCTGCTAATTTTTAACACTCTGAAGTCAGATCTCTTTGCTTGATTCCCCTGCCTCCCCCCCCCCCAGCCTTTCTTTACTTTCTCTAAAATGTTTAGAATAGCTGCCTGGGAATTTTACCTTAGGACTCACCTGCTTTGCACTAATGAGATTGACTGTGCAGTGGCAGCGAGGTAGCTCAGATCTGATCATTCATTTTGTAGGAACTGCATGGCTGAGCATAAACAGATAGAATAAAATAAAAAAGTCTGTGCAGACTTGTTTTATCCAACTGTCAACTACACATGTTCACGTCAAGTGTGAAGGATATTGCACTTTTCTTACAGTCACAGAGAGCACAAACAAGGATGGTACTCAGATAGTATGAGATAATCCAACTTGCATGTGATTGTGTCCTGTATGTGGTATTCCATGTACCTGTTTATCTATATAGACTAATTGTACCTCTTTCCCATTGTTTGAGCTCCTGGGGTGCTATGGAATATTAGCCAGCACTTCAACTGCTCTGGGAGATGATGCTAAAATATTGCAAAGATTACAAAACTGAACTTGTGCATGCCCCACCTGATGCCTGTTGTTCTTCTGTATGGTGTTGTGAAACATTCTGGTTGCTGGATCCAGCGAACTCTACATGCAACCTGGTGAAGAAGGCCAAGACTTTTAAGTGCAACGTGTTGTGTAAGAATAATGAAAAGGCTCTGGCTGCGTTCTGCATTGGGATTTTTGGGGGAAGGCGGACGTGGGGGGTAGCAGCCATTATCAGTGGCTCAGCCAAATTAACAGCAAAGCAGAGCTCAGCATGAATAATTTTCTGGATTTTCAAATGAACTCTTATAATTGTAAAATGTTAATACCCCACTTTAATTTCTTTTATATTTTCCAGGGAACAGGTCCATCTTCATGTGTAAGCTGTGTAACTTATTTTCTCCAAACCAGTCAGAACTTCTGTCTCACGTCTCCGAGAAGCATTCCGAAGAAGGGATTAAGGTGGAGGACATCATTATTCCTCTCAAACCTCTTTCAACACCCACCAAATGGAGGGTTCTGAATAAAGATGGAGAAGGTACTGGCCGAAGTCAGTGAGGATGTAAACTGTTATCACCGCTGTTTTATGCGTGATGTTAAATTTATGAAATCGCTTCAGACTTGAAACCACCAGCGCCTCTGCTTAATTCATGACGGCAGCAAAGTCTTTGCCTAATTCATGAAACCTTCCGAATACAGTGATTAAATGTCTCGGCATAAGAGATAGAAGGCTTTGATGGTTTTGCAATTCTGCCAGAGGATTGTTTGTTTCATGAATTATAAGTATTTGCTTAATGACTCTAACTTCACGTGTAGGCCTCTTTTGAAAACGGGAGGAAAAAGCAGCTTATTTGGAGCAACTTTGCCAGTCTAGGTCTGTGTAGCTATGTGTTATGCTTGTACACTCAGCTTGCCTTCCTTCCACTGAAGAGTACCCTTGCCTGCTACCGGGGTCTGTTCGTGGGCAATGCAAGGTGTCTGGTTTGAACAGAAGTCCTCAGATTATGTTCCAGCCTGCAGTGTCCTTGCACCAGGGACCTGGAGGGAAGCTGCTCTGGGGTATCAGTGTTCCACGTAACCTGCATACATTAAGGATCCCTTTAACGAGGCAGCATGTTGCAAGGAATCATGCCCAGCCAACATATATGGAATGCAACATTGGCTTCTAATATTAGGGGCTTAGTGAGACGCCCATGCTACAAATTTTTGTGGTAATTGACAGTGTAGGCAAGCAGTGAAATGCTCCTTTGTTCTTAAGGTGTCTTCCCCCATTAGCCTTCTCCTCTGAGCAATCTAGAAAGTCACAGGGTTGTTCCCCCCCTCCATTTACCTTGCATGTTCCCAGGAGTGTATTTGAACACCCCCCCACACACACACACACACGCTCGCCCCCCGGCTGAGCTCTGTTCAACATGGACATGTGCTTGCATTGGGGACACCTGAGAATTGGTCCCCCCTCCCCACCACTTTATCTTGGAACATTTTTTATTATTGTTTAAAGTATTTCTATGCCTCTCTTTGTCGTGGAGGCCCTCCCGAGGCAGCATCCAGCCATAACATTCATATAATAAAAATTGATGCAGTAATAAAAACAGCCAGTGTTCCAGAAACAATAAATGCCAGCATCACACAAAGCCTACAAGCCAATTGCTGTTACACTCTAGTCTCATAAAATACAATCAGGGAAAGTCCAGAGTGAGCATGGGGGGTCTTCAGATTCGCCCTGAAAGCCTCGTGGCAGCACGTTGCGTCGGCGTGGTGCCACCTTTGAAAAGCTGGCAGAGGGGGTGTTGCACCTTTCTGCCGTGATGGAGCTCAAGGGGTGTGTGTCTGGGGTGTTTCCAGTGGCCTCCTTTACAAGCACGGAGCAGGTTCAGGGCTAGTTTGCCTCAATGAGGGGGCTGCGTTATTTGCTTAAGGCCCTGCCTTGGGATGTAACGCAAGAATGGATTAAACTCCCCTAGAACAGATTAAAAAGTGCATTTCCTTTGGTGCTGGTTCAGTACAGGCTGTCCCACATGTTTGGAACTGGGGAGAAGACAGACCGGGTGAGATTGGCGTCCCCAGAACGTCACATCGCACCTGCATGTCCCAGAGCGCTTTGCCATGTCTCAAGCAGCCGTCCTGTGAACGGCCCCTTGCATCGCCACTCGCAGCTATCCACCAGGGCACGGAGACTTTCTGCTGAAGGGCCCGCTGCATCCATGTGTGCTTTGCGTTGCAGAAATGGACCGCTGCTCTCCATTGGCTGCGAGGACAAGCATCACCGAGCCTTCTTTCTGAAGCCTTTACCTGGCACTTTGCACCTTACTAGCTCTTATGAGAGACGTAACAGTTGAACTTCTCTTTGGAGAACAGCCACTGCAGCCAGAAAAGAAAAGATGCAGTCATTTAGGCAAGCCGATTGGCTGAATGTTGGTAGTTGCCCCAAAAAATTCTCTCTGAGATTCATTTCATATAATAGCTCTCATTTTGTGCAAAGACAGCACTGAGACTATTCATAATTTATAATGGAAAATTAACACTAGTGCTATTAGCAAAAACCATACAGCAAAGGTTGAATGACTTAGCTGATTATGAGTATTCTACCTCAGCCAGATGACAAATACAACTTCCTTTAATTTCTGAGAACAGTATTGGTCCCTGATGCCGGAAGAATGGAGGTCTTGGTGTCATTATGCAGTCCTCCTAAACCCAGATTGGCAATTTGGCCATAATATTATTGTAACTTTCCAGAAAGATGGATGTAAAAGATCCTGGCACAGCCATCTGTGACCTAAGCAAAGGGAAGGGAAGCAACTTTTGCAAAGCTTCCCAGCCTGGTCACCCAGAGGCGTTTTTCATTTGGCACAGGCAATCTGGCTTTTGATGCATCTGCTTTATCATGCAGCACTGCTGAGGTTCAGGTGCCAAAATACCATCCAGCACATATCCAGTGCCACCTTTATGAACTGAACTATATTGGAAAGCTAATCAATTGCACTGAATATCGCTGATTTACCAACCACTTAAATTATAGTGGCAGCGCACGGTGTTATTTTTAATACTGTAACCCTTTCTTAATGGTGGTGGGATCCCAGGCTCTGGCCTAGTCAGAGCATCCACCCGTCTGTTAGGCGGTTCTGAACTTCACATAAGTGTGTGGAGTGAGAGCATGATCTAGTGTGCCAACATCAATGTAATCTTCTACCACAAACTTCCTTTAATTAAAAAAATAGTGAAAACTTCATTTTCACGTTTTGAACAATTAGACGTATCTACCTATCTTTTTATCTTGCCGTTGCTTTAGTGATAAATAGGCTGGAGGAAAACACACCAGTTTGGCATGCATAGGAGTTATTGCTTTCACTGGGATGAAACCTGCTTTCAATGGGATGACATCTCATTTTTTATTGTTCTATTATCATTATTTATGTATGTATTTATGTATTCTTTGTGAGCTGCCCCGAGGCTTTGTCGCGATGGGGGCGGCATAGAAATGTTTTAAATAAATAATAAATAAATAAATCTCACTAGCCCTAGTCCAGCAACTCTGAAATGTGTTCTAGTAGGCTCTTAGGGTAGCAAGTTGGAGAATGGACAGGTCAGTCTCATAACCCAGTTCCCAAGCTTGTAAAAATCGTTAACCTTTGGATACTTGGATGCATGGGCATCCTATTGTGCTCAGCATCTCTTGGAACACATTGTACATTACCTGTTGAAAGAACAGTCAGATACTCATTAAACCGCAGAGCAGCCTTGCTTTGCAGCTTTATAGCTATTATTTGATGTTTCTTCAATAGAGCTTCTTGTGGTGAAGAGGAAACGGGGCAGGCCAAAGGGGTCAACCAAGCGATTTTACGTTGATGAAGAATCGGCTGAAAGCAGTCACCATCCTCCGAGTGAGGCTGCCCACCTGGGATCTGAAGAAAGGGGAGAGCTGGCGGAAGTTCAGCCAGGCAACTTGGAGTGCCGGAAATGCAGCCGGAAGTTCTCCAATTCTCGGCAGCTACGGAAACATATCTGCATCATTGTTAAGCATGAAGACCTAGAAGAAGATGGTGACCCAGGTAAGTGAAGGTCCTTCTGAGTATGCTTGAAGGGATGAGTTGTGGATCCATAAAAGGATGAGAGATGCTCCTAGAGAACTCTGCACACAGCTGGAGTTTTATTTATGCATTTCCTCGGCCAAAAGATAGCTGGCTCCCAGAGCAACTTACATAGATTAATAATAAGATAGCCCATCTGCCCTCAGGCTTACAATCTTAAAGACTTGATACAAAAGGGGAAACTATTGGAAGGGAGGAGGAAAAGCCAAAACGAAACTCGGCCAACTGTTCTTACTTTCCAAGTTCTTGTAGGGGTTCTCTCAGGGGCAGATGGCTGCAGCAAGCTCCGTGCAGCTGTTTTTTGTCTGGCCAGTGTATGGTACCCAGGTTGGACTTCGCCTTGTTGTGATGCTTTTTCTGGGCTGTAGGAAGTGCAGCCTCCAAGTGGCTATTGGTTTGCTCGCTGATGGATGAGGCAGTTTTGTTTGCTGGATCTGCCGTCGTGGCTTCTGTTGCTGACTGGATGAGCCGCTGTTGAATGCGAAGAGCTTGAAAAGAGGTGTAGTTCATTTAGAAATGGCTGGGGTTCAAGGACAAAGTAGATGAGTTTCAGGAGATCTGTGCTTGGGCTGTGCCTGACTTGGTTCTAAGCTCTCGTGTGATAAATTCAAGTAGCAGTGAACACAAGGGTGTATTGTGAAGGCAGGTGGTGGGGAAATTGAGGAATTGGAAGGCTACAGAAAGGACCCTTAACACATAAATGATGTTGATGGATACAAAGAACACGTAGCCAGGTCATGGCAAGAGCTGACAAATCAGAGATAACAAATTTATTTATTTATTTAGAATATTTATATTTATCCTGTCGCGAAGGCCTCAGGATGGCTTACATAGATAAAATAATATAAAACGTAACACAAATTAATTACAGATCCACACTGGCTACAGTTAAAAACATATATAAACCAATATTAAAAGTTATTAAAATATTGCTGGAATAAAAAGATCTGAACCTGGCGCCGAAAAACAATTAACGACGGCGCCAGGCGGAGCTCTTTGGGGAGTGCATTCCATAGGCGGGCCGCCACCGCAGAGAAGACCCTCCTCCGGGTACTTACCCTCCTAATATCTTTCCCGGAGGGTTCCCGGAGGAGAGCCTCTGCTACTGATCTCAAGGGGCAGGAGGGCAAATATGGAAGAACGTGTTCCTTCCGGTATCTAAATTACACCTGTGGGCATTTTATTTTCAGCCAGATTCCAGGGCTCTCTGCTTGCTTCATGCTCAAAGGATGGTGGGAGTGTAGGCCATTTTCTGTCATAGGATTCTACCGTGAGCAACTAAAAACAGAAGCAAGCAAGAATATTTATGCTGCCCCATCCTATTATTAGTGTTTCTTTACCCACAGATTCATTTAGGGTGAGGAACCGGTGCTGTGTGCAGGGGACTGGACTTGAAAAGAGCCTCTGTTTTGTTCAGATGCCGTATTTCCTAAGCCAAGTTGTGCAGCTGCCTCACATGTGCCCCATGTCTCTTCTAAATGTTTTCTTCCACAACATTTACCATATTTTAGACATAATTAGCTTGTGTAAAAATGAACTTTGTCTGCGTGACTGAAATTAGCTACCTTTGACCCCACCACTCATTAAAAGCACAATATACGAGCTGCATACTGTTTCTACAGATTGTTGCCAGGCGTTTCCGGCCGAAATTGCTTTTTCCTAGTCTAAAATAGCCATCTTTCTGCTTGCAGGTGAACAAAACTCTAGTTTTTCCTGAGAAAAACAAACCAGTCCATCTTACACAGGAAATTAATTTGTGACTCTGCCCAATGCATCCTTTCTAATATCGATGTAGAACATGGACTCGGTCTTCAGGTCAGGTTTCCTTGGGGCATTTTCCTTCCGTCGGCTCACAGTAAGCCATTGATATTCTGCCTGATTCTCCGGTGGCACCGAGCACAGCAGACGAGGTGAATCACGGGAGTTGCAGCGTCACTGCTGTGCGGTGTGATCTCTGTCATGGTAGACGATCCCACGTGGTATGAAAGCTGCTTTTCAGGTTGTGCATCCGATGCGCCCGTTTTGGCTCGCGAGCAGTCGGTCTTAGGCAAGAGCAGACCAGTGATCCAACTAGCCAATGGTGCCTGCACTGACTGGCAGCCGGTCACCTGCTCCCAGATCTTTTAAATGAGCTGGCAAGGGCTGACATCGTGGCTTCCGCTCGCAATGCCTGTGTCCTGCGGGTGAGCAATGTTTCCTTTAAGTGTACTGTCAGAACTGGCTGTTTAAAGGTGTGTTAGGAAGCTGTCAGGCTGACAAGGAACGCTCAGAATGTGCCTGAGTGATGAGCTGATGAGATCAAGGAGCCGGGACGCTTGCCTCGTGTCGTCTGGAGCCTGCTCAGCTGAGAGCTGCGATGCCACGGTCCAGCCACCTGTCATGTGACCCAAGAGCGGCCCGGAAGCACCTTCCTCCGACAAGGCATTGCAAAGCTGCAAAGAGTAAAGGGGCAGAATTTCACTGCTGTCTTCTTTCATCTCATTTTCTTATGGTAAAAACATTTCTGTTGCCTTTTTGCGGTCATTTTAAAGGCGCTTTGCAGCAACAGCAGTGAACGCATACAAACAAACCAGCATATAAAATCCCCAGGAAAGGTTGGAGTTGAAAAGATATCGATGATGGTGCGGTTCTTTTGCAATGCATGGGTGCCTAAAAGACAGAGAGTTGGTGGCAGATGTGCTGTCCCAAAGCTGGAATACCACCACCACCATCAAATCCCTCTGCTATGCAACGGAGCTCACAACTGCTCCATGGTGTTCGGACAAGGGCATTGACTGGCAATCTTAAAGTGCAAGTAGGGGGTTAGGGTTGGATTATGCTATTGTTCGGATGCGGGAGGAAACTGTCCTTTGTTTGAGGCCGGGGATGCCTTAGGTTTTGGCTTAAGTCCTCCAGAGCTGTGGTGCTTGGCCGCTTTTTGGCAAACTGTGGGGCATAAAGCTGCCAGGTTGTTAACAGGAACGGGCAGGTATGAACATATAATGCCGGTCCTTTTGCACCTACGCTGGCAACCAGTTGAAGTCTGGGCCCAGTTTAAGGTGCTGGTGATGACCTAAAAAGCCCTAAACGGCTTAGGACCTGGTTACCTGAAGGAGCACCTCCTCCCCTATGTGCCTGCCCGCCCCTTAAGATCTGGGGCAGAGGTCCTTCTCTGGGACCTCTCCTTGAAAGGGATTAGGAGGACGACTACCCAGAGAAGGGCCTTCTCTGTGGTGGCACCCCAATTGTGGAATTCGCTCCCCAGAGAGGTTTGCCTGGTGCCATCACTTTATTCTTTTCGGCGCCAGTCTAAAACCTTTTTATTTTCCCAGTGGTTTAAGGTTTGACTGTTTTTAATATGGGTTTTATTGTTGATGGGTTAAGAATTTGATTAGGATGCTGTATTTTATTCTATTTTGTTTTATTGTTAAACTGTCCCGAGACTACAGTAAAGGACGGTCTAAAAAGGTCTTAAATAAATAAATAATCTCATGGAGGATTTTGCTGTGGCCCCAGCTGGACTCTGGTCCATCCAGCTGATTGTGTGGCAGAATTGTATGATGGGGCTTAATTAGTGCGGCTGACATGGGCAGTAACTGGACTTCCGCACAGAGGCAGCATCCTTCCCTCTGATGCTGATGAAAACAGAACCTTGCATGACCCAGAATGACACCAGCCGTGCCCAAGAACGCCCAGGCTGGCAGAGCAGCAAGAGCAAAGAGGAGGAATGGCATCAAGTGACAGTGAATCCCCCATCCCTCGAGTAAACAAAATTTGGAGGAAGAAAACCAGGCGTGGGAGGGGGAGGAAGGAGGAAGCGGAGAATAGAGTGGCAGGCCCAGCCTGGAGTGACGAATGGGAACCAGATTATCAGACGGAGGAAAGGAAAGTGTGGGAGGGTGAGCAATGGCAGCGGAAGATGTGTTTCCTGTGCATTGGTTCCAGTGTGAGCATGGGTGATGCATTTATTCCAGGCTGAGCAGAGGAGAGAGAGAGAGAGAGAGAGAGAGAGAGAGAGAGAGAGAGAGAGAGAGAGAGCGAGAGAGAGCGCGAGAGCGAGAGCGAGAGCGCTGATAGGGCAGGCCCTGCTGCCCAATCATTGTCTCTCTCAGGTTATGCTCAGCCCTGCTTGCAGGTAGGAGGAGGAAGTAGGCAAGGAGAAAGGTTCTTCTACCTGTAGGGTGCAGAGAGGGAAGTAAGCTGGAGGCAAGGAACTTGCATTATCTGTGAGGTGGAGATGGGTAACAGCCAGAAACGCCCTGCAGGATTTTGTTATGGTTTATGCGATGGTATCGATGAGAGAATCAACCATGCTGAAAGTCACCAAATTCACTTCAAAGTGTGGCTCCCATTCTTGCTTGTGACCTGGCTTCTCTTTCGAATGGTTGAAATTCACATTCCAAGTGAGCCTTTTTCAGACGTGCCATTTCCTTCCACGGACTAATCTGCAAAAACGCTCTTTCAAAAACCCCTGACTTCTGGAAATGGCCACTTTAAGGTCTGCCTTTCTTAAAGTGTGAATGTTTTTGGAGAACATGTACTCCTTGTTGCGTTCACAGTTGTGAGCGGGGCATTTAGGGGAGTTCTGTTGGATGAACTGACATTCTCATACTTTGACGCTGGTGACGAGCAAACGAAGTGAGAAGGGTCATCGCCTGGGAGGTCCCATTGCTGAAACTGGGAAATGGACCCAAGTGCTGTGCTTGATCCCGGCGGGTGACGATTCCTTTCCGAAATGCGTGCAACAGGCTGGATTTTTGAACCCTGGGCCGACTGAGCATGGCAGGGAACCGAAGCAAGAAAGCTTCCCTTCTCTGGCGTGGTTGCAGAACTCTGGTCGGCTTTCCTGCGTGAGAGTCCTGCTGTTTCATATGCAGCACGCACGATTGGGAAGGGATGTCGGGCATTCGGCCGTTGCCTGAGCGGAAAGTAACAAGGCTGCCAAAATCGGAACAGAACAACTGTGCAAACTGAAATGTCAATTTTCCCAGCTCACAAAACACAATTGTGTATATTGGATCAATCGCTCATTGCTTTGGCAATCCACAGTACCCTTACTTAGCAGCACTGCGATAGCATATTCATTTAAAAAATTGCCTGGTCGTTTTAAAAAGCTCTTTCCAAAAAGTAGCACTTTTCTCAAGCACTTGACAAAGATGCTTGCAATTTGCAGTCCAGTTCCACTTTTGGCCAAGGGGAAGTTGAAAGGCAAAGCTTATCTGCATATTTAAAATTTTGATTTTGCATTGCCTCTTAGGGTGAAAAGTGAAAACAGCGTGAAGAGTTGTTCTTTGTGTGGCTTTTACAGTTGGAAGAGGGTCTCATGAACACATGGGCTGAAATGGAAATACAAACATCTCATTTTAAAATTACATAAAGAGCCATTTTGATATTCCTCTTGTACAAGGTCTGGATTTCATTTAGTGCATTTAGTTCTTGAGGGTACGAATAATAATCATCACGATTCCAGATGTGTGGCTGATGGTTGTCAGCCTCATACCAAATGCTTGCACAATTAATTTCTTTTCTGTTACTGCCATCGTCCTGCTTCCAAAGCTGGATGATCAGTATTTTTTCTTAAGTGTGCAGCTGTGCTGAGTAGGTTTGGCTGTCTTCTTACCGCACTGTTTTTTCTGTTGCTTCTTTCCATTATCTGATCCATCCCATAGTAATAGACTAGGATTCTACAACCCCCCCCCCCCCATTCTTTGACTTCCCTGCTTCTGCTCCCTCCTGTGTCCTTCCTTCTCTCCTCTTCCCATCCATGGAACTTCTGCAGAGCAAAATTGCTTTCTCTGCCAAGGTTGATCCCTTGCAGTGGTCCAGCTACTGCATCTTGTACTTTCCTGCAATTCAAGGACAAGCAAAATGGTTAGCTGCCTAACTAGGGATGCAGCAACAAAGCAAAAACCCCTTCTTTAGCCTCTGTGCACGTGAAGGTGTGCATCCGGGGTTGTGCAAATATTGCAAAATAATTGTCCATCCCTCCCTGTAAAAAAGTAATGACCATTTTCCTGTAAAAGATCAGTGCTAAAGACAATAGCATTTAACACACACACGCACACACATACAATGTAGAGCCAAATTCTCCGGTGCAGAGCAAGAGCAAAGCATGCCAGTTAAGGGACCAGTACATGTGTTGGAGGTTCCCCAGGCAGCCTCTCCGATCAGGAATGCACAGTACAGAGCAGAAACACCATTTAGGGGGCCCAAATAGAAAATCTTTCTGGCTGGCTGGCTGGCTGGCTGGAAATGCTGCTGAACATACTGATTCATCTGTCACTGACAGCCACCCTCTTCATCAGCGAAGATGTGAGCATCCTCATCAACGCCATCTAGATACAGACGCTGCGTCGCATCACATTATTTTGTGCATGCCGCGCTGGGATTTAAGTTGCATAGATCTTGATACAGGAGGTCAGTTTATTAGCTCACTGTATCAAAGTGCCAGCTGCCCAGACTGATTGCTTAACGTTCCTTTGCAAGGGAGAGCAGGAATGGAGAAGACAGTTCCCCTCAATCAGGCTCTTGAAATCAGGAGGGGGACTCAAAACGTACTTGTTTTGGTCATTCTAAGTGGGAGGGGTTTGGTTTCCACCTGGAACATCCTGTAAAGGAGATGAGGGATAAAAGGAGGCCGTGAGCATGCCAGCCTTTGAAAAGGAGCGTGGCGCTTTGGAGGGACGTGACAATGTGCGCACCGGCCGGCAGGCACGGGGTGTCTCTCCCAGCCCAGCAGTCAGGCTGATCCATGGTGGGATAGGACAGAAGAACTTTGGTGATTCTCTGGACCAGTCTGGCGCACGTGGATCCCCGTGTCCTTTCCCAGGTGTGCTGAATGAGCAGTGTTCAGATAGCGGCCCACCCACCCCACCCCAGCCAGAACACCTTGCTTTCTTTTGCATTTAGTGTGCAAAGACCCCTGCAGTCCTGCTGTGCCCCCTCCCCTGCATTGCTGGTTGTTTTGGCAGCTCCCGTCACAAATCCCCACAGGCCTTCTTCGCTGACTAATTTTATCTGTGAATTCCATCTCCTAATAGACTTGTTCCATATGCTAACTGAAGCCATTTTGTCTGCATTTGCACAGCTGTTAAAACTCTTGCTTTGGCAGGGAGAAATGGCTGCTTTTCCTCTAATGACTGCATTCTCACGCACACCCCTCTTTTCCAGCCATTCGCAGGATGGTGAATTTAGCCAAGTACCTTTTCCCTGATCCGTTTTTTCAGTCCCCTTCGCAATTCTTATTCTTCCTTTAAAAACAACCGCCACTGCGTTAGCCAAAGCAATCATAAGCCTCACAAATAAGATAACTAGCAAAGAAGAGGCAACTTGCCTTCACATCGATACATTCTTGTATTTCGCAAATGAATGGCCGTTGATGGTTGACCCTTAAAACAGGTCCTGGTGCCAATTTAGGCCAATCTGGGTAGAGAGGCAAAGAGAGGCCGTGTGTTTGTACCATGGCATGTGGCGGAGGGATTAGGAATGATATGATGATATTTCTGGCCCAGTCCTGGCGCCCAGAATTCTTTAAACTGCTGTTCTTGCTGGATTATGTCCTGCTCTTCAGCCAAAATGGAGCTGCAGTTTTGTTGAACACATTGAATACTATTTGTTGTTGTTGTTGTTGTTGTCGCGAAGTTGTGTCCTGATGGCAATAACGAGGGTTGGTGAGCACACAGCCAAGCCTGGAGGTTGAACTTGGAGGGTGGCTTGCCATGACACATGGCTCTGTGCTGGGTGCCTTCCACTTCCTCCCCTTGCGCGTTCTTGTCTTCAACCGTCATTTCCCCCTTGCGGTCAGCCTCGTCTTGCCAGCTCGAATGTGGCACCGTTGTCTCATTTCACTCCCGGATGTGAGCATTGGACTTAAAATCCTGAGCAACAAAGTATTTTTTCCTTCTGTTCTTTGATTTTGGCATTAGAGTTCTCCTCCTCCTCCACTCCAACACAGATGTGTGCCGGGAACGGTAGCATAATATTACCTAATCTTTGCAAGTTGACTTATTTTTCAAGAAAAGAACAGAAAACCGCACCAGCCTGTGGATGGTCCACTGCTGTATAAAAGAATAATTTCCATGATTCTCCTTTTACATTCTTTTTGATGTTTGCTCTTTAGGTAATGATTCTGACGTTGACCTTGACAGGAGGGAAGATGAGCGAGAAAAAGCACCAAAGAGGCAACGGCTACAAAGAACAGAAAAGAGCTTTTCAACGAAGGAAGCAGACCCAATCTCAGGAACTAAGAATCCTATTATAAGTGTAGTTTTGACTGCTCATGAAGCAATTCGAGGTAATTAACTGTGTACTTGTGAAATCAGAATGCTTTAAATTTGGAAAGTCATTAGAATAAGATAAACAATCTTTCATCACTTCCTTCATCTCACTGTTGTTTGTGCTGCTCATCTGCATGGGTAAAGTGTAAGGACCTGCGTGTTACAGTTATACTGCAAAACATGGATTATAACCTTTAACACGGACTCAAAAGAGGGAAAGAAAATAAAAATGTGGATTCCAGTGCAATTGTTTGCAAATAGGACAGAATTCCTAAACCCTGTACCCTAGAATATACTGTGACTCTGTGTGGAATCTTTGATATGAAAAAGTGAAAAGGAATTTGGCAGTTCTTTTTTCTAACCTCAGTGAATTTTACTGTGTGGAGAGCGAGGGGTTCTTTTTATCTATCCAACTGTCACCAAGTTGGACAGAAAAGCAGGTTCACCTTGTTTAAGCAGCAGGATTGTTCCGCTGTAACATTTCATGGCAACTCTTTCATCTTGGCTGCGTACAGTTCACAAATGCTTCTTTCTTCTTCAGCAGTTGTGCAAGAAATTCTCCATAGAAAATGCCATGTAAGCTTTTTGTCAATGGGGAAAACAGAACAGGGAAAGAAAGAGTTTAGTAGACCCTTCCCTCTCCCTCCAGCCCCCTTTGGAATATTGCAAAACATGCCTTGTACAGGTGGCCTATTTGATGCGTTGCCTTTAAACTGAGATGCTCACACATATTTGTACCTTAACCCACTTTCTTTTCTGCATTACATAGCAATGGGTTCACAGACATGCCTTGTTTTTGTGGCACAATAGGATTTTGGCCAATTTCTTTTTAAAAAATTGGACTGCTGCTATTTTTCCAGAGCATTGAAGTCAGATAGACTTATTCCCTTTTATTAAGGTGAGTTTAGCAGTCGGAAATCAGCAGCATCTGCTGTTGTATCAAGTAGCATTAATCAAACAAAATTACACCATCATTGTTGACTGGAGATACTGGAAGTATTCCATACCGCCGCTGTACAAAGGACATACCATTTCCTTTCTGTATTCTGGATACCCCTCCTCTTTCATTACATTTCTGTACCGCCCATAGCCAAAAACTCTCTGGATGGTTCACAACATTTTAAGTCACCCATCCAGATTACAACTAGGCCTGACTTTGCTTAGCTTCCAAGATTATGCAGAATTACTGGTCCCGATCCCTCCCTGAGTAGATTCCCCTTTACACAAGAAATGCATAAGGAAGCAGTGCGTTTGCCTATATTGGAACAGTTTTTAGGGGTGGTACCATTTCCATGAAGGACTGACATTTAGATTTACAACCAATGCGGAAAAATGAAGCCAACACACACCTTGAAGGTCCATCTGAAGTCTTTTCCATGTCCATTGTATATGGGTGGAACTGATAGCACCGCATGGCTGCAAGCTTGCACACTGCAGTGTTATGCAGGTGTACAATAGTGCAGCATTTACACTTTTTCCTTTTAAACTCAGCTTTTAAATTTACCTGGAGGCTTGCAAACATTTTGTTTTTAAATTTACCAAGAACGGCACATAAACATTCTGTTCCAGTTAGGTTAATCTTTAAAACACAGTTCAATGTACTGCCAGCTGTACGAAGGAAACTTGTTCCTTCGTGCAGTCCCAAAAACACCGATTCTTACCCCCTTAATGTCCTCACTTGGTCTCTTTGCCTTTCCTCACCCAATTGTCCCCTGATATTCTGTTCCTCTGGGAGGGAAGCCATCCCTTTTCAGCCAGACCGTATCCTCTCTTAACTCACTCCAGCCAGTCCTTCTGCAGAAGTTGTCTCCCCTTTCTATAGCCTGATAGCCCACATCTCTTAAAGAAAACCCTCAAGGTTTCAAAGCGGCGTTCATATTAAACTAAGGGCGATAAGATTGGGAACGACTGTTAGTTTTCCTGAATTATTGCAGTAGACCAACAAAGGTTTCTGACTTCCAATAGCAGCAACTCAAAAGCTCTTTCCTTTTCCCACTTAAGTTCCTGAAAAAATGGTTTGGGGGAAAAGCAAGACTGGGTTTTTGAGTGCATGGATGTGGGAGCTCGCTTCTGGTTGCACTTGTGCATTTCTGGGCTGAGCATGTGCTCGGAAGCAACTCGTTCCTTAATTCTTAGTGTGTATCTGTGTGCCTGAGCCACTAATTTGTGCCTGAATCCTATAATATTAAAGCAAGAAAGACGTTGGCCCCACAGGTCTGATCTCTGACCAGCACGGGTGTTAAACAGCAAACAGGACTTCACTGCCAAGTGTTTTCTACACCCTCTGCCTACTCTCCTTCATCCCAGTCATTACCTTTTTTTAGGTATACCTTTTTAGGAAATTTTTAACACTTAGCCTTAAATGCTGTGTCCCTTTTTATATTGCTTTTATAGATGTTTTAATAGGTTTTTAATGTGTTTTATTTTGTTTTAACGTGTATATGTACTGCAAGCTGCCCAGGAACACCTCGGCAGTTATAAGCGGCTTATAAATATATGTATAAATAAAATTATGATTAAAGATCAGGGTGCATGTTCCATGTATCAACACATGCATCAAACTGCATAATGGATGAGAAGCCAGGGTGGGGAAGTTGCAGAGAGCTTCAATGCAAACACGGAGGAGACATCCTCCATTTCTTATCAGGCGCCTCTCTCCTTAAATATCAACTTTATCTCTTTTGCCTGGTATTCGCTGTTTCTCATGTTGTCTTAATTGTTTTGTCTTCATTTCTGCTTGCTTCGTTTCTTCGGTATAAAGGCAAGCAACTCTGGCCTTTCTAGATAAGCCCCTTTCTCTGTAAATTGAAATGTGATGTTGATAATGGTGTAACTCGGCGGGCCAAACACACACACACACACACTACACACTTCAGAACGCAAAATGCTTCAGCTGCCAGCGAAGGCAGGCAAGCTGCTCCTTAGGGCTGAGTTACAGGTTTGTCTCAGCAAATGCAGGTTCCTGAATCCAGGTGCGAATGTGTATACAAGCGCAGGGAGGGGGCAGGTACAAGGGGAAACACCAGATTTGGCATGGAGAAGAGATACTGAACCACTCCTGCATCTGCTGATTCTCATCTCTATGTATTGTAGGCCATCCTGAGACATTCTGTAGGGGACGGGTTAGAAAAGCTTTTAATACATACATACATCATCTGCCACTGTCCCCCAGGGTCTTCCGCCACTGGACTCCCAGTTGGGCTCACTTTCAGATTTGGGGGCCAGCTTTGGGGAAAGCTTGAAATGGTTTTTATGCATGTGTTTTGTGGTGGGAGCAGGGTCGTATGTGCGAGGCAGAACCAACAAGCGCAGGACGATTGAAACCCGCCCCCACCATGCCAGTTTCTCCCTTTCCTTTGCTCCCTCGTGTGTGCAGCAGCGTTGCAAGGGAACCGCAGAGGCGGGGGCCCTCTGCTCTCCTTGTAAAGTGCTTTTTTGGCCGTAGCCAACAGTAATTGCAGAGGCAATTTCGCAGAGGCAGTTTTGAGCCTCTGCCTGGCCTTTTATATGATTCCAGGGAAGAATGGGCAAAGACGTCTCTTGCTTCTTTGTACGTTCCATCGTTTCACGAGTACAAGGTAGCATAATGAAATGTCATTAATGCCTTCCTGCTTTTAAGCAGAGGAGATAATAGCTTAGGCTGATGCCATTCAGTTATACATATTATTCAGCAAGTAGCTGCCCAATGTGTCCATTTGGTATGTTGCCTTATCCTGTATAGTATTTACGTCAGCGGGTAAACAGTAAACACCATGACTTTGTATTTCTTGTAGGAGCTACAAAAATAGTTCCAGTTGAAGCTACTTCTCCCGAAACTGAACAACCAGCCAACCCGGAAACAACGTCATCAGATTCTCAGCGGAGAGGGTATCAGGAATATGCCATTCAACAGACACCTTATGAACAACCAATGAAATCAAGCAGGTAAGTTCTGTTTTCAAAATAAAGTATATTTTATTCCAGGCAGAAGTATTGCACAATCCAAAATAACTCAGGAAAACGTAACATGGCTCAGGAAAAGTATCCTGAGGGTAGTCTTGAATCCAAGATACAGCAAAAATGCGCTCTGAAAAATGACAGGCATTTTGATATACGTGAAGTAGGTACCACTTGCTCTTCCGATTGAGGTCGGGTACAAATTATCCGTGCGAAGGGTGGTTCTTGGAATGTAGTATCACATGTGGGTCTATTTCCCAAGCCAGCCAATGGATTGTGGACTTGATGGACTTCAGGTGGCGACTTCCCAGGCAATAAGCATGGTTGCCATGGTAACCCATCTCTGGTGATGCCGCCTGCAAGAAGAGAGCAAGGAGAAGGATGGAGGAAGGAAAGAGCCCAGCGCAAGGAAGGAGTGCACCTAACTGAAATGAGCACGTTAGTTATCACTGCATGGCATCAGGCCCTCTGCAAGGATGTTCAGAATGGACTTACCAACCAAGAAAGATCATGCAGATCTTTCAGGCAGACTTCAGTTGAAATCTGCATGTCAGCCAGTCCGGAGGACCCAGGTGTTCTCCAGTGCTACTGTGTAAATAAAGGGACGAATCCAGTAGACAGGTCAGGCAAGTAGGTAGATGGTCACACACAGAGTTTTCAGTCCATGGATTGGTCAGTATTAGCAGGCATATCAGAGGCTTCAAAAGAGAGGATGGAAGTCCAGTCAAAGTTAAAGCAGAAGGGAGTGGTGAAGGAGAAGCACAGTCCAAAAAAGCAGAGTCAGGCAGGAGTCCAGAGGTCAGCAGCAGAGTGGTGGAAACACGAGGTGTAGTTAGCAATGACTGGGACAAAACTGAAGCAACCAGTTCAACAGAACTGAAGGCTTATGTGGCCAGAGCTTCCTGTGCCTTGCCCAGGGCTCAGCTGCAGTTTGTAGCCTGCTCTCTGGCGAGATTCCTACTCGGGGATCCTTTTCTCTTGAGGAGTCCTCTTTGTATCTAGCATGTCTTCACCAAAGAGCTATGTCTCTTGAGATAGCAACACTCAGGCGTTAGGTGGTCACTTAGCCTCTACCTGAGAGGTGGAACTCCCATCCTGCTGGGGAGACAAACCTGGGGTCACCTGTCCTGAGGACAAAGGTTTTTCCAGGTCCTCTGGCCTGGGTGTCTCCTTTGTGCCATTGTCTCTGGGAGCTTTAGCTCCTCAGAGGGTAAGAAGGATTCCCCAGGTGGACATCCCTGTATGTAGTCCATCCCTTGGGCACTTACATTGTCTATCCTGCCTGCTTTGGCCCTAGCTAAAGTTCTCATAGTTTAAACTGATAGATTTGTTAACAAAATTTCCTATCATTAGGGCAGTGATAGGGAACCTGGGGCCCATGGGCTGAATTGACCCAGCCCATAGAGGGATGGCACTGACTCTGATGGATTGGTCAGAGGATACCGCTCCGTCCAGACCAAAAATGGACGGCTCCCGATTGAATTCCATCCCTCAGCATCTTGATGTCTTGGTTCTGCTTCTCCTTAGGTTAGGTGCAACCCAGCTGAAAATCTTCACCTGCGAATACTGCAACAAGGTGTTCAAGTTTAAGCACTCTCTCCAGGCCCACCTGAGGATCCACACCAATGAAAAGCCTTACAAATGCTCCTTCTGCAGCTACGCCAGTGCCATCAAGGCCAACCTGAACGTTCACCTGCGGAAGCACACGGGGGAGAAGTTCAGCTGCGACCACTGTCCTTTCACGTGCCTGAGCAAAGGCCACCTCAAAGTCCACGTGGAGCGGGTCCACAAGAAGATCAAGCAGCACTGCCGCTTCTGTAAGAAGAAATACTCCGACGTCAAGAACTTGATCAAGCATATCAAGGAAGCCCATGACTTGCAGGACAAAAAAGTGAAGGATGTGTTTGACGAGCTCCGCTTGATGACCCGGGAAGGGAAGAGGCAGCTGTTGTACGACTGTCACATCTGCGAACGCAAGTTCAAAAATGAGCTGGATCGTGACAGGCACATGCTGGTCCATGGGGACGAGAGGCCCTTCGCTTGCGAGCTGTGTGGTCACGGAGCCACCAAGTACCAAGCGCTGGAACTTCACGTCCGAAAGCATCCGTTCGTGTATGTTTGCAGCGAGTGCTTGAAGAAGTTTGTCAGTTCGATCAGGCTCCGGGCACATATCAAGGAAGCGCATCGGGAGTTGCCAGAGTCTTCTGTGTTTAACAGCTCCATCAATCAGAGCTTCTGTCTGCTGGAGCCAGGAGGGGACATCCAACAGGAAGCCCTTGGAGAAGAATTGTCTCAGACTGCCGCCGAACTCTCCCTCTTAAACTCTAAGGCTCTTTGTATAGCAAAGAGGCCTCTTTGCATGGGTGAACTGAATGCCGTGGATGGAAGCCATCCTGATAGCTCTAGTGGCCACTTGGAAGCTGCTTCTGCCCCTCCTTTAAATTTTGAGGTCCCCCCAGTTGCAAGTGCAGCAGACTCGCCGTGCCAGCCCTCGCCAGAATTCGCATCTCCAAATGCATTTCCAGTTAGCGCTTCAGACGGCTTTTTGCAGAAAAATATTTCATCTGGTTCGGATGAAGAAAAGTCCCTCTCTGTGACGTTAGAGGAAGTCTCTCCTGACCATACAGAAAACATACAATGTGAAATGCAGCTTTCAGCAGATGGAAGCTCCAGCGTAAGCCAGGATCTCCAAGCTCCACCACAGGATGCTGCTCTTGAAGAAAAAGGCCACTTAGCTCAGGGAGCAAGCACACCAATAAGCGAAAAGGCCCTCTCCTCCAACCCGCTTCCCGATCTGGAATCCAACGCAGCGATTGCCGAGAATTCCGATCCTTGCCCGCCAGCCTCAGACAATCGAACTGGAGCTGCAGCCTTTATGCAGATTTTGGACAATTTGCAAAAGCGACAAATGAACACAGCCCTATGTGAAAAGATCAGAAAGGTCTATGGAGACTTGGAATGCGAATATTGTGGTGAGAAGTTTGCAGAACTACATGCGTGTCAAGTCTGGCCAGTCGTTAATACTGCCTCCTCCAGGCTGCTGCTTTCCAGATGTTTTGGGACTGTAGCTCCCAGAATTCCCAGACTACAGTTTAGAAATTCTGGGAGCTGCAGTCCCAGCACATCTGTGGGCCACAAGCAGAGAGAGGCTGTACCAGGGGGTGCAGTTTAATGGAAAGGTTTGGTTGATACTGGTATTCACGAGTGCCAAGAAAACACACATACATTTGTTTCCTTATTAATAGTAAGATCACTCACTCCAGGGCTGATTTCTTCCAGGGACAGGCTGGAGGTGAAGCAGGGTGGAGATTTCCCTTTCGAATAAAGGCAGTGGGACTGTTGAGAAAAAGAGGGCAAACAAGGCAGCAGAAATGAAGGGGAAATAAGCAGCAGGTCCAGTCAGATGAGTGAAGCCAAGGAGTCGCTTTCAGAACTTGGCTCCAGAAGAGCCGGTGTTTCCAGCACCTGTTTCCACCTCAGCTTCTAACAGGTCCAGAGTTCAAAGCTACGTCATGCCTCCTCTATGTATCTACCAGCCTTGCGATTTCCAAGGAATGGCGTTTATGAGCGCTGCATTATATGGGCAAGTGAAAAGGTACAAAGGTAGAGGAATGTTACTGGAGGCCAGAAGGACAAGCGAGCCAAAAGAACGGAAGCTTAGCCTTCTAATCCCAGGACCTCCTTGCACTGCTTGTGTGCCCATGTGGTGATCTTTCCCGTGTAGTCTTCACTGAACGGTTTGTTTGAAGCAGCCAGTTGGTAGAAATCTCTGCTACCCGCTGAGCTCCCCTAGCTGGGATGGGCGAAGTTTCCTCCGGCTCTCAGGGTGCACTACTTTAGCTGTTCAGCCTGGTAAATCTGCAGTCCCCACTGTCTGGTCCGTGGCCTGTTCCACCCTCCTTTTCTCTCCAATTCAGCAGCATGTAGCTAAACCACCTAGAGCACATGGGAAGAGGAAAAGAACACCCTGCCCCTCTTTTCTCAACTGTCAGAAATTAACCTCCAGATTCCAAATTGAAAGTTGAAATTTATTGCAAGAATACCATAGGAAATGACAAGAACACAAAGTAGGCATGAAGGAAAACAAGGTAGAAAGCTTGCTGACCAGTGCTACATTTTTTTCCGACAAATTACTCATGCACAGGAGGGACTCGCAACATCCGCAGTAAGTCAGGAAAGACAGTGGAATTTCTATGGGTCTCAGACAGAAGACCCTATTCCATTTTTATTTGTCTTGGCTGGCAGGAGAGGCAGGGATAACTGCCCACATAATTCTCCACTCATGTATAAAGCACAGAAGCAAGGAAATGCTAGCTTTAGGTTGAAAGATAAGAGTTGGAAAAATGCTGCTTCAAGGGGAATAGCTTTAATTTGCTTGGGCAAACTGCATCCATCCAAAGTCTTCCCCTTTTAAGGGCTTGGAAACCTCAAACATACAGGTATCCTTCAAACAGCATGATGAGAAATAATGGCGCAGGTCAGCCAGTGGGAAGGGGATAGAGAAAGTCAATTCTCTGTCACATTTGTCTGCTTATAGTAGGCTATTTAGGGAACTGCCTACAGCTGACCTTTGCATCTTCATGCATTCTCAGCCTGTATTCTGCCACTAAACTGGCAGTATATCCTCCCCTTCCATTCTGTCCAGGTATTGCTTGCCTGTTTTCACATGTCTTCTGTTATATTTCTAAGCTGCCCAATAGCCAAAGCTCTCTCGGTGGCTTTCAAAGATTAAAACCTTAAAAATACAGTAGAAAAGCCATTTACATACAAACCTGTTAGCTTTTAGCACAGGGAGAGGAACACAGGTATCTAAAAACAATTTTAATCGATCAGCGACAAGGAGAGTTCAAGACCAGATTAAAGCCTCATCATATGTTGCCAAATGCCTGAGAAAGGATGTGAGTCCTAATGTGAGGCTGAAAGGTAACCGTATTGGAGCCAGGTGGGCCTCACCAGGAACATCATCCATCACTGGGGAGCCACCACTGAGAGGGCTTCTGAACCTCCCCAGAAGAAGGTCTTAAGTGATGAACGCAGTGTAGGGTAGGCTTATGCTGGAAGCGTCATTCCATCAGGTATTGCGGTCTGGAGCCATGTAGGTCAAAACCAACACATTTGGCAGAAGCTGCAGCTTCTGAACTGTCTTCAAAGGCAGCCCCACGAGGAGCACATTGCAGTAGTCTAGCTAAGGATGGCCTCTTCTGATCCTCCCTGCTCTCCGTTGTGCCCTGTCCAGCTCCGTGGGCTGCAACCGTTAATCCCCATCCCTCTGTGTCTTGCAAGGAACCCGATGTAGCGTTTTCATGCACGTATTGTGTATCCACTCCGGAGCCAACGGACTCTTGACTTGCCCCCTCCTGCAGCTCCACAACAAACCCACTGTCGCTTTCAGTTTGCTGCCTTAGGCAATCCTCTAGGGTCACCAGTTCTGCTAATAAGGCCTCCCAATTTAAATGCATTCTCAAAATTGCATTCTGCAGGGCTGCATCCATTAAGAGGAATTCAATTAGTGAAAATACCTTTTAGAAGGATTTTTCATCAGCTACATCAGCAAAGGATCATATGTTAAACGTGTTCTCATGAGGTTGCTCCCTTTTAGGAAATATCAATTCTGTCTGTTTCATAGGAAGGCTTCTACCCACATTTACTGAGGCAAGCATATATTTAAAAAGAGTTTTTCGTATTTAACACCACGGTTTCTTTAAAAGCGTGAGATGCTAGACTTGAAATAGTATTTTGCTTTTCAGTCTGGTGCATGCCTCCCATCTGTGTCTAGGGCTTCCCTCTGCTTGAGTGAGATCCAACCCCTGCTAATTTGAGGGTTAGGGTTGTGGTTGGTTTGTTGTTGTTGTTTATTTAATTTCTGTGCCACCCCACAGCAGAAGGTCTCGGCAGAGTTCTGGGGTGCAAGGTGAGGCAGGTTTGTTGCTGGAGCAGCAGAGGTGAACAGAGCCAGCAGACAGCCCCGATTTAGCATCTGCTGTAGGGTCCCAACCTGATGGCACGGTTGCCTTTGGTCTCTGCGGATCTGGTCAGTAGTTTTGTAGGGAACCTTTGGGGGCCATGCATGGGCCTACTGAACTTCAGGCCAGTCCCCAGATGGCTCGCAGAGGAGCACTGCAAGTCTAAGGAGCACGTTTGGAAAGTGACGTCCTCTGCCCGTGGACAGAGGCACAGTGCAGTGGCAAAACTGGAGTCACATTCCATCATGGACTTAGGTTCTTAACCAGCCTCCTAAGCTGTTCACCGCAAGCAGTAGCCGCCATTTTGATGCTAACTCAAAACTGAGCGGAGGCAAAATGATGACCTAGACTGGTGGCCCCTGGCCTGTTTGCCATGGCCAGGGTGCAGATTGGTGCGCTAGGCACCAGGTTCATGAATTAGCTTCCTGGTCCACCCTATCCCAAAGACCATCCTCAGGGTGGAGCCACTGTTGGTTATGTATTGGTCTCTCTGAATCATCAGCACAGTCTGGCCCACTCGTGATACTTCCTGTCCCATCAAGCAATGATTGGTACCCAAGCATCTGCTGACTCACGCAAGCCTTTGAGCCCCGGACCCTCACACCCACGTCTAGGATGCTGCCCGGGCCACACAACCCTTCGGAAGCAACACACGGGGCCACCTTTAACTTGCTCTGTATGTCACATTGGTTCTTTTCAGGCAAGTTGTTTTGGTACCAGGTGCATTATGACATGCACGTCCGCACTCACACACGAGAACACCTCTTCTACTGCTCTCAGTGCAGCTACTCCTCCATCACCAAGAACTGTCTCAAGCGCCACGTCATCCAGAAGCATAGCAACATTCTGCTGAAATGTCCCACAGAAGACTGCGATTATTCAACCCCAGATAAATACAAGCTCCAGGCGCATCTGAAAGTGCACACAGAGCTGGTAAGTCTGAATCATAGACAGTACCTTTCTTTCCGCGAAGTTGCTGCCTTGTTCAGGACATGAAGAACCTGGAACTGTGAAGGTGACCGCCATTATTTTCCTTGGTATTGTAAAATCACGGGAGAGGAGAGTTGGAAGAGCCAAAGGGCCTTCAGGTCCAACTCCCTGCTCAGTACAGGACACCAGGTTAAACCATCTCTCTCACGTGGCTCTCCAGTTGCATCTTAAAGGCCTCCAGTGTGGGAAAGCCCGCAATCTTCCCAGGCCATTGCTGTACTGCCCTAACCGTCAGGAAATATTTCCTGATCATCTAGCCAGAATTTGGCTTCGTGTATGGTTTCTGGTGGGAACATGCCCAATTTTCATCTGCTTCCTAAAATTTCCCAGCTTGTTATTGCTACCATATTTGTGAAGGGATGTGTTTCTCACTGGTTTACACCATTGAACTTGAGTCCTGTGTTAGGTATGAGAAGATGAGAATTTTGCAGATGGGTTTATGCAAATTTCACATCCTGAATAATTATGTCAGTGAAATGTATCTGCAGTGGTTTATTTTGCTCTCCTCAATTTCTACTAAATGTCTAATTTGGGGGAAAGATTAAGACGTATACAAACACTTGGGACCCTTAATATCAGCCAAGAGCATTTCCTTGACTGTATCCTCACTGGACCAAAATGAACAGCACGGCACAGCCTTTTTGTTTGATTAGGATTCTCTTCTCTTCGAGATCCGAGCCATGCCTTCTTGGGAGAGCATTGCATTCTTGCAGTCTGAATAGTTGTTTAAGGGCTGATGTTACAGAAAGTCAGTTGGGGGCTCTTTTAAAGTTCCTTACTGAACTTGTGTTCAGATTTTTCCGCTTTTCAAAGTGCCTATACCTCTCCCCAGGCCTTGGAATGGGGCAGGTGAGAAAACTTGAAATGCCTTCCTCTACTAGAGCCTTCATGACTCCATCCCCTGTCAGACTTGGGACTTGCAATTTCTGCATCTCCGAAAAGCAAGAGGGAATTTTCTCTGCATTCTCTTCCATCCCCCCCCACCCTCCCCATGCTCATCTGCTTCCAAGCTGTGTTTCTCCACCTGTCTTAGAAGCACACATTAAATGTGATACATCTAATGCATTTAGATCTCCTTTATGCTGATAGGAGGTAGGCTATTGGCCAATATCTCCAACAGTTAGAATTCCTTTTTTTCTTGAAAAGGCAAAGAACAGAACACTTTGCCTCCTTTTCTAACTACCGTGGTTTCAGAAGCCACAGGATAGCTTTACAGAAAGCAGTAGGAAACTCAAAGCAAAAGGGAGGAATTCTTCTAAAAATATGCATTGTGTTGTCTTATGTTTATTAGTAACACTTCAGTTGAGTTAGAGAAAGTTTTTGCAGTTAAATTTATTTGCAAAGGAAATCTGAGCTGGTTTTTAGCTGACATTTTTTATCATTATTTGCAACATTTGATTTCCTGCAAGGTGCTGATCTCCCTGTGTGTCTGTGTGCATCAGAAAGTTACTTAGATTTGCTTTTTAAAGAGTGCAGTGGCTGAAAATAGCAGAGAAGTTTTCTACAGCTGCCTTGGGCCATAGAGAGAAAAAGCTAGATAAAAGCCACCAAATTTCTGTGGCTGGGAATTGATGCCACATCCTTGCCTAATCAGCAATTTGCTTGTCGCCTCAAGGCCTTATTAAAAACAACACTAATAAATGTGTTTTGGATGTGGCTCATCAATCTGACTCTGGCAGAAGTCTAGCATTTCATCGAAAACTGCCCAACACCTCTTGCAGGAGTGTGATGTGTGGATAACTTTCGCTTTTCCACTTTATTTGCAGTTGTGTTCCGTCCATGATGGTGCCAGCTGTGGATCATGCTGACAGCCTAAACCGGGGAGACCCCCTCGCGCGTGTGCGCGTGCACACACACACACACACACAGAGCCAGTGTCACCTTAAAATACAACATTTTTTGTGGCATGTGCTTTCTCAGACAAGCGTCTGTTTCATCAGGCACAAAGGGAAAGCAAATGCGTTTGTTGTTCGCAAACGTTCCTGCCCCCAAAAAGTTGCTAGCCCTTAACACACCACCAGATGCCTTTGTGCTTTTCCTCCTTCCTTCTGTACCTTCCTGTCCCCAAGATCCAGGTCTGAGGTCCTTCTTTGGGCTCCCTCTTTGAAGGAGATCAGGAGAGTGGACATCCAGAGAAGGGCCTTTTCTGTGGTGGCACCCTGGCCCTGGAACCTACTTCCCAGAGAGGCGTGCCTGGTGCGGACCCTTTATTCATTTCAGCACCAGGCTAAAGCCTTTCTATTTTCCCTGTTTTTTTTTTTTTACTTAATTGTGTCGTTAATGTGGGTTTTATTAGATTTCTATTTTACTGTATGCTGCCACTACTGCTTTGTATTGTCGTCCTGAGGATTCTAAAGGATGGGGTAAAAGTGCTCCACTTAATTAATTAATTAATTAATTGTCTTGGGGTAAAGTGCCCCAGACAGTCTCATCTATTGATTTTCCTGTTCAACAGAAACTCTTCCCACAATAATGGGACCTTCTACCGATATGCCGGATTTTGGGCAGCATCAGTAGTCAATAGCGTGTCATGAGAAACTCATTTTCATGACATCACTGCATGTATAGACCTCAGTCCAGAAAGACTCCATTAAGCTCCTTTGGACTTTCCTCTTAAAAGTAGTTGTTTGGTACATCCCTCTGCTTAGGATCACAGTCCACCTTTATATCAAGGGCTCTGAATCAGATTACAGATTTTTCCGCCCTGTTCCCACTAGTAGATTCACTGATCCAGCAAACCATGGTTTATCAAGCCATGAATTGATGTAGGTACAGTGTGAGTGAGCTAATTCTCACTGCCTGTTTGCTCCCACTGGAGCTGGTTAGAGCTAACCAACCGAGGGATGCGCCATCGCTGGGCTGTTTGTTGTGACCTCTGAACCTGAAATTGTGGTTGTTGGGAAAGAGACAGCCCAGAGATAGGACTTGAGAACAACGGGTCGGCTAGCTCAGTGGCCTCAGTTGGGCGTTCAGGAGCCTGCTTCTGCTTGTTGGAGATTTACACAAATCCTGGATAGCCATGATCTGGCAACTGGATTGCTATCGAAGACAGACTCTAGGGTTGGAATTAGACCAGAAGAAGAATTCCTTGAGTCTATACACTTGACCTGTTTGCATGAACCAGTCTACAAGGGCTGTTTAACCCGCAAACAACCCAGGATGCAATGTAGCCCCTGATCGCTCCGATCACATTGCATATTCAAAATGGTGCCCACGTAGACTGGGCAGGACCCATGCACACCAGCCATTTTGTGGGCGAAAAAAGCCAGAAAAAAACCCATGCAAACTGGCCCACTGAGTCTGAGAGAGACTTCTGTGTAGTTGAGAGACTCCTGTGGCACAGTTCTTCCTAGACTGTACCATTCAGTCTGCAGGTTGTGGCAGGAAGTGCAGGCCTGAATGCTCCATTGCATAAAAATGAGGAGTAAATTCACTGGATGGAAACAGCTAGCATGTCAGACAAAAGATGGGGCTCCATCTCTTCTTCCTCTCAAGTTGGTTTGGTGTGGGCCGGGAGGAGTTTTTGACCATGGGTTGGGCGTTTTACTGTGAAAAGCCTGCTATTTTCTATCTCGCAATATGAAATTTGTTCGTATTTCTGCACCATGTCCTTCTCCTAATTGCATGTGTGGTCAGCTCTGGGTTCTATTTCTGGCACGTCCTTTCTGCAGTTGGGAATTGCACATGGGGAGGTCGGGTGGAAAAGGCAGCTCCCAAGTTCCCTTGTTGTGAAGGAGGAGTCTAAATGCTGTTCACATGTCATCAACTCCTCATGCCACTTCTCATCCACATCTTCCACACTGACAGCATCCATAAGCGGCATGCAAAGACATCCGAATGGACCCGTTAAGGTTGTGTATGAGAAGCTCTGAAAAGCAGGAATGGTACGGAAGGCTGCAGAACATTTGCCTGTTTGTTTTCCCCTTACAGGGACTCTTTATGTCCTGGGTTTTCAAAATTCAAAGAGGGAAGTCTAATGTGAAAAGTGGGCCTAATTAATTGCCCCCCGGAGACACATCTGAAGGCTGGAGTAACACTTCTGCAGAGCAGCTTGAGGGGCGTTGGCAGAAATGTATAGAAAACTGTGGGCAAACGTATTCCAGCTCTCCTTTGAGCAGGTTGACATCCATTGGCTTTTCCCTTTCTGGCTCATACGGAGCCGATGTAACATTTCAAGCCCGTAGGGAAATAAAGTGTGGCAGCGAGAGGGGAGAGGGGATTGGAAGGATAATGGCAGAACAGGGAGTTTTGATGGACACTCCAGGATGCTCGAGCAGCCGCACAACTCTTTGCCAAAGTGCATAAATAGATCTTTACTGTTATTTCTGCCAGGTTAGCATGATCTGCCACCAGTCAGGCTTCTGATTTTTAAGTTTATGTGGCGTTTTGCCTGCTGTGGTAGGCACGCCATTGACAAAGGCTCAGTTCTCGAATGCACCTTGCTCTTGCCTTAGTGCAATCTACGCTCTCAGACCACAGATGTGATAAAGAGACTTTTTCTGGGCTGCGCAGCTTCAGAAGGCATTGTGGAAAGCTTTCTAGGAACTTGGATCTTCCTGTGCTGTGACCTTAGAGCAGGGCTGCAGCTTCCGAGGTCCAGAGGCCAGATCTCAAAGGTTGAAATGCCTCTCCTAAGACAGCAAGAGCTTTACACTAAAGTAAGCCAGTATGTTTGGTGTTGAGGACCTGCTCCTTGTGGTTTAGGCCCCGACCTCCCGTCTTTGACATCACCACGGATGGAACTTCCGAAAGCTGCGCCAGAATGAAACAGGGCCCCGAGGCTGAGAGAGGTTCTGTATCCCTGTCCCAGAGTTTTCAGCAAACACAGGATTAATTATAATGGGGAATGTGCAAAGGCCAACCAGTTCCGACTTGAGAAGGATAGAGATTTGGTTTGGAAAGCTGTTTCTGTGTTAATGCAGATTCATAGGTCCATTGGCATG